TCCCGCCCCGGACGTGTATGTAGAGTGGAGGTCGTATAAACAAATAGAATCAAGTAATGTGGTAAAAAAATCGACTCAATAAGTTTTATGTTAGTCATATGGACATGTTAAAAATACTTTTAGCTGGTCATGTGGATTGAAAATTTAGAAAATGATCTAAGATCGAATCATGCCAATGACAGTGTGAAAGATAGCTCCTAAAATGTTAGCGGGAGTGTGAGAGTAATCTCTCAAAGTTATCATTCATATTTTGATTCCGGATTATTCTGGTAAACAATCTCACTAAATAATTCGTGTAACTCAATGATTTAATAATCTCCTAATAATTCAATGAATGAGAATGCAAAACCATGTCAATTAAGGTCATGCTAAAAGATAACGATTGATCGATTGGATGGAGTAATTTATGTGGCGTATGTGTTTTTTGAAACCGTTCACTGATCATTTTTTCGACTTATCGACTTTATCAATCCCTTTATTTCACATTCCAAATTGTGTGACAATCAAAATAGAAAAAATTACTCAAATATTACTACCTTAAATTTCTCTAACAAATATATGACTAACAATTAAAATAACAAGTGATTTCCCTACAATAACTCCCATGCTTCCATACGTGACATGGGTAGTTAGTCATTGTTTTGTAAACTCAAACTTTGTTGCTAATATTGACGTGGTAAAGTTAGAGTTATTTTTGTGATTGAATTGTCCAAAGTTAATGTGGAGGATTGTTTTAGTTATTTTTTAATTTAAATTTTTTATTAATAAAATATAATTTAAATATAAATTTTTATAATTTAGCAGATTCAATCAATTCAATCGTTTCAACCGAAACTTCAATAATTTGAGTGTAACCAAACATGCTCTTATTTATTCCATATAGAAATGATTGACCTATATAGATATCAACGTAGGTAGAAGCAGTGGCGTATCCAGAAATTATTTTCAGCGGGGGCGAATTTTGCATTATAAATACGATATTTTAGAATAAACAATAAATAAACAGTTTTTATTCAAAACAAAATTTTACATAACTTTTCATTTTTGTCCAAAGGTAATGTTCACATTTTTGAGAATTTTATATGATTAAATTTCAATTTATAATAAGAAACACTAATAACATTGTTTGTACTTTAGTGATATTATATTAATAAAAAAATAAATTGAACAAGAAACAAGCAATGCATGTCATTAGAACCATTTAAATTGAAAATGCACAATAATGTTTTTTTATGTATGTAGTGCAATCAACAATCATAATATTTAAAGAAAGTTTTATACTACCTATTATATTATACGTAGTTAAATTTATAAAGCAAAATGGCTCACTAAACTGCATGCACTTTGTTGGGTTAATGGCCCAAGCCGAGGTCCGGCCCATTAACCCCTCCTTACCAGACGCACGTCCAGTCAGAGCACAAGGCTAGCCCGCAGGCCCATGTTCCTTAAGGAAGGACGAGCGTCCGGGGTTTGGGGTTCAGGCCCAACGGCTCCTCTCGACGAGCGTCTATACAGAGACAAGGAGCAGGACCACGGGCTACCAGGGATGACGACGAACGTCTCCGGAGCAAGCCTGTAGTCATCGGAGGAAATCTAGTCCACATGGTGATTATCCATTAAGGGCCAGAAGACGAACAGCCGATATCTCTTGGGGGTCACTTGGAGCAATCCAACTCACTTCCCGGACGGACGAACGGCCCCACTGATTAGGCGGGAAACCTAGATTCTGGCGGGAAGTGCATTTAATGCTGAAGATTGGGTGGTTGGGGCACCAGCGGTCCACAGGCTGCCACGTCAGTATAGCCACCTGCCCATTGGTAGGTATAAATAGAAGCATTTATTTCATTGTAAAGGGTTGGCAGCTTTCTATTCTTAGCATTCTAGCAATAGTGTTCTTACTGGTAGTATCTACACTACCTCGTAGGACGAACGGCCGACGTGCCTTTTTAGCAAGTAGATTGTACTTAGGGGAGTTATTACGAAGTTAATAATACCTATTTACATTGCCTGCTATTCCCTCTGTTTCCTGATCCGTCTGATAGTTGTTGGGCTAGATATTCACATACTCATACACTCACTCCACTCGAAATCTTTGGGCTTACGTGTTGGGTCCAAGGGTTGAAGGAATAAACCTCAACACACTTCTTTGTTATGAAGCAGTTGTCAGTCCATGCGATTTTGGTCGCGATTTTTACTATGGGTTATCTGGAAACAGTCTCTCTGTACTTTAGTACAGGGTAAGACTGCGTACATCCGACCCACCCCAACGTAGGTCGGGCGCCTAGAGTATATTTTATATATATACATATATATGGGGGTTGGGTAGAGGTTGAGATTTGAGAAGGGGCACCACTGCCCCCATAGTACATACGTCCCTGGGTAGAAGTATAACACTATATATCTCTAATAAAAGTTTGTGAACCGCGTAACTAAATAATTTGACAAGTTCACAAGTATTTAAAGTACTGTTTCAAAGACCAAAATAGAATTTTATTGTTAATATTGTTATTTTACCATTTCTCATTGTCATTCTTTAAGGCCTTTATACGAAATTATCAAGCATAATAAAATGCTAATCTTTGTACATATAATAAAAATATACTATTGTGGGAAATAACATACATTATTTTCACATCCACACAATATCATTATTGAACTTTTAACGGAAAACTCCTGAAATAATAACAAAAATATTTCGAAGCTCTAAAATAGGAGTAATATGACATTATCTACTGCAATTTTGGAGTCATTATTGTCAAAATAGTTGCAGTAGTAGACATTAGTATGACACTATTTATTGTCGTTAATGACAATATTTTTCAATCATGATAGTAACGACTCTTATTTTCAGAAAGAAAAACATATTAGTCCTGTTTTGGAATTTTAGAATACTTTTACTCATATTTAAAGAATTTCTTAACTTACAATTAACTATTTTTATAAATACATATACACAAGTGTAATAATAACAATAAAATCCTAACACTAAATAAGAAATAATTATAAAAAGGTCGTCAATTCGTCCCGATTTTTTGTTTTCATTTGACTAGACACATTTACCTGAAATAAATTGTTTCGTTACACTTAACGATAAAATGAAAAAAAAAATTTGGGAGAAAAATTGACAAGAATAATCCCACATTTGACCAGTCTTCTAATAATAATCTCACATTTATGTAATTCTCAAATAATTTCACATTTGGAGTCAATCTTCTCAAGTTGAAAGTGTGATTGTTTCTAAACAAGTACATTACATGATGCTATATTGTGAAAAGTTTACATTTGTACTATCTTGCGGCTTCAAACCGAAAGTGCCGATCAAGATACTTGTACCTACACACTACACGACGCACTTCGCAGTTGAACTGAATGAGAAAAATTGACATAGAAACTAGGCAACCAAAAGGCCAGGACAAGTTTGGACGCGAACCTTTCAAGAAGGCGACCTCGTGCTCAGGATGTAAGAAAAAAGCAAACTAAAAAAAGCAAGCTGATAGAAGGTGGAAAATTTTCAAAGTTTTGGGAGGGCCCCTATCGAGTATCCACGACGCTCAGAAGGGGCACATTCAAGTTAGAAATTACGGTCAAATGATTAATAGGCGTCTAGAATGCCGAACACCTTAGAAAGTTTTATCGTTAATGTTAACCTCAACATGATGCTAAAAACGTTACATTAAGTGAATCTATTGTAATGGTTATAGATACTTCAAAAAAAATTGTAATGGTTTTAGATGATGCGGTACATTTGTGTAAGATGATGCGGTACATTTGTCATGAAGGTGATTGATAGAGTATATAGACTCGGACCCCCGGGTCTCACGACTATTGGGCCCGGACAGCGGCCCACATACGCTCAGTAGATAGCATTTGTCTCATTGTACACTCTATTTTGTTCATGTATATCCATTAGAATAGATTAAATACCATTTATTAGCCATTTATTGGCCTTTTATTGTAACTGGGCCTTCCAGGCCCAAACCTGGAAGCTCAGCCCTCTTTTCTCCTATAAATACTCCCTATGGGAGCCATGTAAAAGGATGGTTGATTGGAAGGTTGGAAGTTGGAAACTCATTTATACATATCACTTTCTCTCTCTAGCTCTCCCTTCTCTCAAGATTAAATAATCTATCATAAGGTATATTGTGTTAAATTAGTAATTTAAGAGTCCAAATAATTACTACCTTCGTCTCGTTAAGATTGTCTCGTTTTATCATTTCGGTCTGTCTCACACCAAAATTGGCAAAATTTGTGTGACTCTAAATCATTCTTACTTTATCCTTACTTTATCAATTCATTATAAACCATTTTTATTAATTTGTTTGTCACTCCCTCTTATCCCCTTATTAGTGGGATGGAGGAAGTAGTAATTATCTTATAGAAAATAGATACAAAATAACCCGTAGTATATACTCCTAATATAAGGTATATTGTGTTAGTAGTCATTAGGTATGATATAAAGTAAATATATACTCCCAATATTTTTGGTTTCCTAATTTCAACCGGTTTTTTTGGGCCGAGCTGGGTTAAGAATTTTAGAATTCAGATTAGGACCCAAGTTTTCAGGCTTGAATCAAGTATTTAATTTGGACCGGTCATTTTTTAAAGGTTAAAGGGTCAAATAGGCTCTTGAACTGACTTAAAGTGTTCATTAACCTCTTATATAGGAGATTCTGTCCGAACGTCGCTAATTGAACACTTTAAATCAGTTCAAGGGCCTATTTCATCTTTAGGATGTTTTTACTTGGACTGTAATTTGCTGGTCTGGTCTGGTCTGGTCTGGTCTGAACTGGTCTGAACTGGTCTGGTCTGGTCTGGTAAGGTCTGGTTTCTTTGTATTTTTATAACTATCCAAGTCTGGTCTGAACTGGTCTGGTCTGGTCTAGACTGGTCTGGTCTAGTCTGGTCTGAGGCAAATTACAATCCAGTAAAAACATCCTTAGCCTTTTTTAAATAAAACCGGGATCAATTTTATTACGTCGGTTCCGTTTAGGTTTCCATGGGTTTTCGCACCAATTTTACGGGGTTGGTTCGGTTTCGTTTTCCAGTTTAAGATAGGTTTTTCCCACCACTATATATTACGGCACTATTAGCACAGTTTAAACTGCTTCTGCAGATAGGTTTTTCTCACAGTTTAAACTATTAGCACAGTTTAAGATAGTTTTTTCCCACCACTCTCATTACCAGATATGGGTAATCTGATACAAAAAGACGCCGTTCCCAGTTCTGGAATTGGATTCGATTCTCTATCTGCTTCTGCTTCTACTGGTATGGCTTCATTTGATCAAAGCGCTCGACAATTACATTTAACTTTTTGGAGTGCATATATATTGAATGCCTGACTTGCTTTTGAAGAGGAAAATGCAATTAAATCCGAGAGAAAGCCCCAAGATAAAAATGATGATGCTCCTAACTTCAGAACTGATTTTGTTTCTCCTACCGTTTCTCCTACTATTGGTATGGTTTCCTTTCACTGTGTATGTCAATACATGTAATCAGTCTGTCTTTTTTTGTCTCTGGGTAGATGACTGCATTAGAAGTTTTGGGCTGGACATATATTGAATGCGTGTCTTGATTTTTTGAAGAGGAATATTCAAGTACAGCCATTAGCAAAGTCCAAGAAAAAGAAGATGATGTTCCTAACTTAGGATTGGGTTTAGATTCCCCTATTCCTCCTCCTCTTCCGCCTCTTGGTGTGATTCATGTCATGACTCTGTCTTTTGGACCTGATTGCACAAATACATTGTACGTTGCTGGGTGCACATATTTATAATTAAATTCCCTGTTGTTTTTTTTGAAGAGGAAAATTCAACCACTGCAGAGAAAACTCTCCAAGAAAAAAATGACAATGTTCTTAACTCCGGACTCAAGTTTGATTCTCCTACTGCTTCTCCTCTTCCAGGTAAGATTTCATTTTGCTGTGTATGTTAATTTTTATTGGGCATTTTTGAAGAGAAGAATAAGATTTAGATGACAATGTTCCACACTTAAAGCTTATCCAACAATCACCAAATCATACACCAAAATGGTGGATTTGCCAAAAAATTGCTCCAACAGCTACACCATCCCTTTCACCATTTCACCATTTCACCATTTTGGGGGAGGGGGTTTGGCTTTACGCCATATATGGCGTACGCCATATCAAGCGCCATCTTTTTTTTTTTAACTTTTTTTATTTCAAATGTGACCCAAAGTTTTGATTGTTATAGTTATGACCCATTTTTAGAACAACAAATTAGGATGTTTTGACCCACCTTTTATTTGTGAAATATTGTTTATTGTATTTTAATGAGTGAAATATGCGTGAAATATTGATTATAGTAGTATTTTAGTTTGTGTTTGTGGAATAATGTGTGAAATGCCAAAATGCATAGTAAATGAGGGGCTAATGTATTAATATATGATAATTAGACAATTAAAAGTAATAATGGTAAAAAGTTAGTAAAAAGAATAAAAAGGGAATATTCCTTTTTAGTGATGAAAATGGTGTAAACTGTCGGAGATAAAATACTGTATGATGTGATGTTTACACCATTTTAGTGCAAAAAATGGTGTAAAATGTTGGAGATGGCCTTAGGAACATTGTCATTTTTATCTAGAGATGTTTCTTTTCAAAATATGTGATATTTGCACCCACATAATACAATGTGTTGATGTTGATTTTGTCAAATGGTGAGCCTTTGGGTGCATATATCCACTTCGGATGGCCTAAATGTTTTAGCCAAACAAGTACTCTGCACATGAGCACTGTCGTGGTGGTATGGTTGATGATCAATGTGGAGATGGTTTTGTCTCAGAGGAAGAACATCTATTCACTTCGGATGGTCTAAAGTTTATGCTGCCTGGAGAAGTTGCAAATATTTTATATCCCCATCAGCGTGATGGTTTGAAGTGGCTTTGGTCTGTCCACTCCAAAGGGAAGGGGGGCATTTTGGCTGATGATATGGGTCTGGGCAAGACAATGCAGGTAAAGGATCCTAATATCTGTATCTGCCTTGATATAATGGTATTTGGACATATATTATTTTTTAGTTGTATCTTGTTTCAGATATGTGTCTTTCTAGCCGGGCTGTTTCATTCCAATATGATTAGGAGGGTAATGGTTGTTGCTCCAAAAACGTTAATGCCCCATTGGATCAAGGAATTAACTGCTGTGGGGCTATCAGGGAAAATTAGAGAGTAAGACTTTGTGGTCCATACTCTATCTTTTTACTTTTATTACTCCATATATATTCCATTTAAAGGAGAAGTGATTTAACTTGTTTTTTCTGTAGATATTATGGGACTAGCATGAAGGCTCGGGACTATGAACTCCGTCATATACTAGATGTACTTGGTGCCATCACTTACAATGCAGTATTTATTATTTAGTGCAACTAGCCTATGTCATGTACTCATCTTCATTCTGTCATTATCTCTTTCAGTGTTTCCTATTGACTGTTCCTTATTTTTGACATTAGAGATTATGTTGACTTTATTTGGACTCAAACAATACCGAGTCAATAATATTCTAGGCTTAATTTTCCCCATTCCACCACCACTCATTTTGTTCACCCGCAAATGATCTTAATCCTTGGTTTAATTTGAGATCATCGGCGTAGACTTAATTAGTGCACTTACCCTAAGTTCATTTTTATTTACTTTTGCAGGATAAAGGTGTGCTTCTCACAACTTATGACATTGCAAGAAACGATGTTAAATCTTTGTGCGGAGATTATTATCGCTGTGGTGATCAAAGTGAGGAAGAGGTTATGTGGGATTATATGATTCTTGATGAGGTAGTTGCTATCATATTTTTGTTATTTTAACATCCAACTTGAATATCTTGATAGGTCATAGGTGATAGGTCTGATAATTTTTCATAATATAGCTACATACGTAGTATTATTATTACTTCCTTGTTTGTTAGATTGAAAAGGCTGCATTCTTTGCATGATGTGCAAAATCTATATAAGCATATACTTATATTTTTTACTCGCTGATGCGTCTTAGTAATTACAACAGGACTAGCTAGGCTTTTTAATCAACTTGTATCTTATTCGATTTTTAATATCTTGTATATCTTTTTTTTTTCCTTGGGTTGGTGTAGGGGCATATGATAAAAAATCCCAGCACACAGAGAGCAAAAAGCTTACATGAGATACCTTCTGCTCACCGTATCATTATTAGTGGGACGCCACTTCAAAACAATCTAAAGGTTTCTATGTGGCCGTCTTTACTATTTCTTTTGAGCTTTGTGATTTCAGTTCTCTTTATCATTTTAAATTAAGAGTTGTAAATAATAAACTGCTGCAGTTTGTAAAAGTTTTCTCATTTTTATGTTATAGGAGCTCTGGGCTTTATTCAACTTCTGCTGTCCTGGGTTGCTTGGTGATAAGAAATGGTATATATATGTACCAATCTAAAGTTTGCTAAGATCTTAATTTCATTAACTTGAACCCATTTTATATGTAACTTCAGGTTCAAAGAAAAATACGAGCATTTTATTCTTTGTGGAAATGAAAAGAATGCATCAAACAGGAAAAAGCGTATCAGTTCACAAGTGGCAAAGGTAATTAGTCTAGCGCACATTGTATTTTCTCTTTGTTGCCGCATGTGCGCACACTTTGACTTTTATTGTGAGATGCAACTTGTACACCAATGTGTTGTTTATTACGGAGTATTATTTTCAATCTCTATTTTAGACACTTCATTTTCCCAAGATATTTTACTCTTTTTTAGTAGTATATTAAAGGTAAAAATCTCATGTTGTTTTCTACCTTTTATGATGTTTCTGAACTTTGAATATGTAACTTCTTATCTTATCAGTGTAGGCATCAATATACTTCTACACTTACATGATTATACACATAGGGATGTAGGTGTTTGTATGATCATACACCCTAATATAGTCCTCGTCTTTTAGAGCATGGCAGTTAAATGAAATTGGGTTTAGAGCATAAATAAGTAGTGTTTGCTCTAAATTTGGTCAAATTTGTAGCTACCACAAGGTCTGCTCTGTTCTTGCCCTAAATTGTTTTTCTTTTGTTTTGACAGGAGTTACGAGAGTGTATACAACCTTACTTTTTGCGGCGCCTTAAAAGTGACGTATTTATAAATGATACCTCAACTGGCATAAAGCTTTCAAAGAAAAACGAGATGTGTGTGTGGCTAAAATTAACTAGTTGCCAGGTACAGATGTGCTCTATAACCCTGTTTGTCTATCACTTTATCATCCGCTATTGAATTCCTTTTCACTTCATAGTTTTGTTTCTTGTAGTTACTCTTACCCTTATGCTCCATTCTTTTGTCCAGCGTCAACTGTACGTTGCTTTTCTAAAAAGTGAGATTGTGCTTTCAGCATGTGATAGCTCACCATTGGCAGCACTAACGGTAATGCTCTAAATGAAATATATTCTTGTTGTATTCTACATAGAGGACTATGATGGTCTTTCATAGTTTGAAATATTTAGCACAGTGAAGCACACCATTGTTTTTAGTAGAATATGATTATAGTATTTGTCTCCATCCTAATGCGTATTAAAAGGATTATTTGATTTAATTGATTCTGATCAATGTAACACACGTTAATATATGTGTTTAAATATGTAATTTATTGAACTCAGGTGGATTCATTTTCAGTGCTAAATAGTGCTCCATATTGCTTAATGTTATTTATTGAACTCATTTTAATAAGAAATTCTAGCTACTATTTTTTTGTTCTACCTTTAAAAAATATGAAACCTGATCCTCAGAAATGCAATTTTCTTTAAACAGATTTTAAAAAAAATCTGTGACCATCCTCTTTTATTGACCAAAAAAGCTGCTGAAGAAGTTTTAGAAGGGATGGAACTGATCTCATTGCCTAGCAGAGAGGATCAAGCTATGGCTGAAAGATTGGCAACGCAACTGGCAAAAGCAGCTAAGAAATTAGACTTGGAGGATAATCACAATATTTCTTGCAAGATTAATTTCATTATGCAGTTGCTGGTTAGTTTCCGTCAGCATCAAGTTTACCTTACCTGCATCATGATTGCATATTGCTAATGCCAGTAAGTAATTCTTGGCCCTAGGAATTTCTAATTCCAAATGGACACCATGTTCTCATTTTCTCACAAACACGAAAGATGCTTGATCTGATTCAGGTAACTACAACTTTTCCCTTCTGTAATTGAAGTTTAATAGTATTTTGTTTTATTTCTTATTTTCTTACACACAATTATTGAATGTCAATTATCCAATATTTGTCTTAGGCCTCTTTAATGTCTGTTGATCTGAAGTTCTTGCGTATTGATGGGACAACTAAATCTGCTGACAGATTGAAAATAGTTAATGTATGCATTATGATTGGAGCTTATCTTTTGTTTTTACCAATTTATTTACATTCAATATTAATTATTGCCTAATTCAAAATAGAACTTTCAAGAGGGACATGGTGCTCCTATCTTCCTTTTAACTTCTCAAGTTGGTGGTTTGGGACTTACACTAACTAAAGCTGATCGTGTAATTGTGGTTGACCCTGCATGGAATCCGAGGTATATGCTCCACTACTTTTCTATTATGGTTTCTTTGTGACTAACTCACTAAAGTGTAGACTCTGAACCTTTTTCATATTAATGTGAAATGAAAAAGCATCAAGATCTCTGAAATTTATATGCACAATGACCGCTAAACCAAAAACCGTCTGTAGTTATGTCGTGTATGAATAAACGCATGTGCACGTATAGTTGGCATATGCGTAGAATATTGTTTGTGCCTGCAAGCCAGTCTTTTAGTGGTTCTGTACTCATTACCTCAACTTTTTTACTTTATTCTGCATCTTTGCAGTACCGACAATCAGAGTGTTGATCGAGCTTATCGCATTGGGCAAAAGAAGGATGTAGTTGTGTATAGATTGATGACCTGTGGTACTGTTGAGGAGAAGATCTATAGAAAGCAGGTCCACATGCATTTATTCTTGTTTACCATGACAAACATGCAGCATCATAAGTTTTATCTAGGCAATGTGAATATAGTTTTTCTTCACAGGTGGTCGGCTGAAGTTTCTGCAATACACTCCTCAGTTGTCTAATTTCATATATTAAATTCTGAAATAGGTATTCAAGGGGGGTTTGTTTAAAACTGCAACAGAGCATAAAGAACAAATACGCTACTTTAGTAGACGGGTATGCATAACTGTTGGATTCATATTCATTCATTCATTCATCATCATTACCCCAGTGCTGCTAAGGCTCCCACCTTCGGTGGGGTAGGGGGGTTGGATGTACACAGCCTTACCCCTGTACTGTACTAAAGCACAGAGGAACTGACTGTTACCTCATAACAAAGAAGCGCAGACAGTTTAGTGAGCCATTTTGCTTAATTCCATCGTATTCCCAAGTCAAAAATAGCGAGTCTATGGCTCCATTGCAAATAAAGGATAAAACTGTTGAATTCATATAATGTACATATTCATTTATGAAATCTAATACGTACTTTTACAAAGTTCAGGATCTACAGGAACTTTTTAGCATCCCGAAACAGGGGTTTGACGTCTCTTTGACTCAACAACAGTTGTATGAAGAGCACGATCACCACCATGAAGTGTACTTCATCCCTTCTTTTCTTAAAACTTCCAGCATGGCTGCATTGATATTAAAACTTGGCATTATGTTTTTAATTATATAGTCATTTTTTGATTGCAGGATAGGGTCTCTAAAAGCTGAAATGGAGTTTCTGGGTGCTATGGATATAGGGGGAGTGAGTCAACACAGTCTTCTGTTTTCAAAAACAGCCCCTCTACCAGTAGATCAGGATGATGAGGATGTCAGCCGCAGGTGAGCATCTTTAAGTCGCAAAATATACTTGCAACTTTAAGTCTCAAAATTATCTATTATAGCCGCAGTGACTGAAACCTTAACTGCATTGACTGGAAGTCTGGAACATATGATACACCGGATTCGGCAATTCGCTAAAACCTATACTACTGTCGAGTGGCTTGTGTTCAAACAATATCAGCATAATGTGATAGTAACCCTCAGCGTGGTCACTAATGGGCTAAGTAGTTATGTAGTCACTACAAGATTTAGATTAGTGATTTCATGATCACTATTGGCGCCGGTGGCGATGGTGCAGAGTTGCAGTGGGAGTGGTGATGGTTGTGGCTGTCACTACCTGTGGCTAGATGATGACATTGATTAATTCTTAATTATAATAATTGCAATATTACAATAATAAATGTGATATTAAATAAAGAGAATAATTGATATGATTAATCTCTCTTTTTGAAAAAACTTAGAAACAAGTTATACTTTTGTCTTTTATATTTATAGGGGTATTGATAAAAAATCTACTAACTGAGAAGTCAAGAACAATAATAAGACCACCAATTTTTAAAATTCTAAAAAAGAGACTATAAAGAACTAAGAGGACCATTACACCCTTGCCAATGTTATCTCACATGAACAGCGCTACAGTGACCAATGCCACAGTGACCCCGCATAGTGACCAATGTCCCAGTGACTCTGCCCACAGTGACCAATGCTCCAGTGACCATCACCAGCCACAATGATTGTCATTGGCGACAATGTTCATTGCGTCAGTGCCAGTTACAACCTTTGCCAGTAACCTGTTTTTTCAGGAGACCAACCGCCGCTGTAACTGTCACAGTTACCAGTCGCTTAGGGACACTTACACTGCCGACGTAATGAACCGTGGCCCCAGTGAACTTCGCCACCCCAGGCAGTGACTGCCGCACCCTGGGGTGATGAATCTGCCGCCCAAGCCGGTGAACACTCCCGGCCTTCACCATGGTCCCCTGCACACCCAGTCTGCCCCACCCGAACCAGCCCTCCCCAAGCCTGCCCCATCCCCACTCCCAGCCACAGCTCAGCCACCGCCCCAATCCCCACAGTCGCAGCCCCCACTCATCCCCAAGCCCTCTCAACAGAAGCTGCAGCCCTGCCACCATCCCAATCCCTCCCACTCGCAGCCCAGCCACCTTGCTAGTTGCAACCCACTCACCACCCCAACCCCCCCATTTTCGTAACCCCTTTCCTGCCAACCCATACCTCAACATACACCCCACACCCCGACACCCACCCCCCACACATTCTGCTACCGCCACATCGATTCCACCCACAACTCTAGCATGGCATCAGTGACTTTTTCCGATCTCGCGGCAAGGCACTGCCTCATTTTTTGTCATAATGCAACACTTAAGTTGTAACGGATGCATAAAACGCTGCATTAAGTGAATCTGTTGTAACGGTTTCAGATGATGCGGTACGTTTGCGTATCAACTGTTACATTTAATGTGGTTTTAATGTAACAATATTTTTTAGTTTAGTTAGATAGTGACATTTCCTTAAAACTGTTACATTTGTTGGGATATATTGTGAATCCTAAGTTTATGAGAAAACTTTAGCACAAAACAATAATATATTTCGCACCTTATTTCTAATGAGTAAAACATCCCGTCAAACATTAATATGTACAACATATGTACATTTCGCCAAATCATAATGCCAAATTACATCAAACAAAATAAAACCCTAAATAGAGTGCTAAGCGAACGATTTAACCTTGTTGAACTAGGAATCTCCATAGAGCTAGAAGATGGCAGCGATTTTTTATTCCTTTCAGTGAGCGGCATGCTCAGGTATGTTTCTTTGTACTCATCTGCGTTTATTAAACAACACCTTCGATCCTTGCAGCCAGTGAATGCAATTTGTTGTGTGATTCGTGTTGATTTTTTACACCACACATGTTATTGTTCAGTTTGTTGTCTAATAATCTGCTTGTTACCTTGCTATAATAGATGGGATAGCCATTGCTCTCACGCTTCTTTATTTTTTATTGAAGGGTCGAAGCTGACCCAATTCTCTACTTGTTGCACTCTTGGATTTGTAACCATAATTGATCTTAAGGTTTCGTCTATGTAGGGAACCCAGTCTATTCATAATTGGCGGAACAAATGTGCTTGGCGGAGTCCAATCGTGGAACCTGAAGCACATCTCTTGCCATATTTGGCATCACTTTTTCGATCAAAATTAAAGATCTCCAAGTTAAAGTGACATTCAATCTTGTAACTTTGCAAGTGTTCTTAAATCTTAATTCAATTGACACTCTGTTTAATAACCTTATTTGGAACATGATCGTATTACTTTTTTTGTCAAACTTGGTGTGGTTTAGTTTTTATTACCATATTATTTGATTTGTTTCCACTAGCTGATTTAGATATTATATGCTATACCATGCTTTCATAAAATTACTTTGATTTTGCCTTGGAGGAAGTACTGGCACAAAACAACAGTTGGGACTTTGGGAGTAAATAAATGAAGCACATTATGCGTTTATGAACATCCCTCAATGTAGGAAGACAAACATGACTTGTTTTGAGCCAAGTCTATATGAGATAGTAAGATTATTATATACCTCCTCCGTATGGGTGGACTCGGGCCGGGTGGCCCGACCCGGAACCGGCCCGGCCCGCCACTGTTCCGGCCCGGCCCGGTGGCCCGGTCAGGGACCGGTCCGGGTAGGCCCGACCCAAGGTGGCTCGGCCCCCTCAAAACGTGAACCGGCCCGGCCGGTTCGGGCCATTTTATTTATATTTTTTTTGAATTTTTTTTAAAGTTTTTGGATTGGGTATTTTGGGCCATTTGAGGTGGTTTGAGTGTGGGGTGGGGGGTGGGGTTGGGGGTTAATTAGGAAAAGGCAAAAAAAAAAATACCCGAGGCCCGGCCCGACCCGGACCCGGGGGTTACACGGGCCGGTTCCGGGCCCTCCAATCCAGAACCGGAGGCCCGACCGGGCCTAGGCCCGGCCCGGGCCCGGCCCGAACCGAGTCCATCCATACTCCTCCGTAGTTAATATATAGTATAACCAGATTTATGAGTATTTTAATTTGACAAAAAATAAAGAAAAGGCCCAAAATGATTATATGCCTTGCTTGATTGCTGTCCCGTTTTAATAATCCTTACTCGGTGTCCCTCTTTGTTTATTTTCTGCCCTCAGGGATGCGGTGTCAATGTGTCATCCTTTTTTTTTTGTTTATTTTCTCTATTAGTTTATAAACTGAGGTGGGAAAGACCGTAGCTTAGCTAGTAGCTCATGAGAAAAGCCAAAAGCGGTTAAAAACCTCCTCATAACCAGTAACCACAGTTACTGGTTTGAAAGTTTTAGTTTTAGCTTGCATTGAAAGTTTGAAGCCACAAGGATTTACTACAAAAAATCTATGAGCCAATGGTATTATGTAAATGAATTTATGCTATTACATGAGCCATTTTTTTTGCTAACTCAATCCGTTGATCTTAGTAAACCTATACTCTATTACTCTGTTGATGAGAGGAAGCTCAATGAAAATGAAGGGGATGACACCATGTGATGAATGTTTGAATGATGTTTCCCCAAGAATACTTCTCCGGATGATGAGTGAGTTTTTTTTTTTTTTTTTTTTTTTTTTTTTTTTACTTTGAACATATATCGTAGTTTTGATTAATATGTAGCTTATCGAATGTCATGTTTATGAGCGACTTGCTAGTTACATGATCAATTGATGTAATTAACAAATGTTTGATAGATGTATGTTGAATTTAGATGGGGCACCGTATTTCTTACTTTGCGCACCCACAATGTCAAAAGATCGGACGATTTAGTCCTAGACTTTACTTTTGTTGGCTTGTTGCGTTAACCCAACTTTCAGTTCTCACATACGTAGCAATGTAGCATCACATGATTCACATCATCCCCCCTTTTCTTTTTAATTGATTATTAGTCTCCAATTGTTTTTATAGAAAAATAATGTTTTTTAAAATTGAAGATTATAAAATCAAAACATTCATACTTAAATAAATCTTTTTTATAGTAGTTAACTTAATTGTTTTTAGGATTTAATAATTGACATTATTTGAAAAGCCATTAATAATCATATTTATTACGTAGTACTCTCTTCATCCCGTTGAAATGTTTTCACTTTCCTTATTTAGGTGTCTCACTTAAAGATTCTCATTCCATTTTAGGAAATAATTTACTCTCTTTAATTACATTTTCATTCAAATTTCTCTTTCCTACTCATTATTTGTCAAGTCTCATAATTTCTCCTCGCTCAACTTATCTCTATTTAATTACTTTCACTTTATATGTTTACTTTTTCTAAATTTTCTCTTTCATCTTTTTTTATACCCAAATTACTTTATTTCATCGCTTGCCTAAAAGATTGTGTCATTTACTCACGAGAACCTTCCAACAAGACGGAGGAGGAGTACATCCAAACTCACGACCCACACACTCAAGGATAAACAAGCGGCCCAAACGAGCAACTGAACTACCCATTGATCAGACGAGGAATCACTTTCACAATGATATCTGGGAATGACATAAAGGATTACAGGGATAATTGGATCGACCCTTCAGCCCGTACAGGCCCCTTGACCTCTGCAGCGTCGTCCCAGATTAGGGTCTCAACCAGCCATGGAAGCCTCCATACAAAGCAAACTAACTGCAAAAAGAGTGAGGACCCTCTCCTAGACTAGCTAGATCAAACCAGACAAAAACTAAACAAATTCGGATGCTTAGACTTTTTAGATTTATTTAGGAAATTATTTTTCATCCTTTGAAACTTGAGAAAATATATTTTGTGGTTATTTTTATACTTTACAAGTGTATTATGATTAATAAAAGAAATTATAAACATAAGGCATATCTGTTCCATATAAAAACAGAGAAAATTATCATGGGTATGACTAAAACTCCATGAGTTTCTCAATCTATGACGTACCCTATGTATACTCGATCGGGTGCATTAGGTGCTGACCCAAAAAGCCTATAAATACACCTCCTTTTCTTCACAATTAGATACCAATTCCTATACACTTCTAAGCTCAGTCTAGATAAGTTCTTTCTTTATATTTTCTTCATGTTTAGTCTCCAAATGAGGAGCTAAACTCTTCCATCTTGGTTTTGCTACTTTGAAGCTTAATGAATTGTAAGTTGTGAGTTATTTTATTTAATCTTCTTCCTTGAATATTAATTAATTCCTATTCCTATTTCATATTAATATCTTGAGCATTACTTAAAGGATCAACTAGTTTTGTTTCATATATTGATTATTACTAGAATCGATCGACGATTACGCTGGTTAATCGTTCGGTCGTTTCATGGCAGTAAATTTGGGTTGTTAATGCATGCATTTCATGGTTAATAACCGAAAGGGAATTAATTACATTGGTTAAACCATTAAACCACTTGTGTTGAAGTTATCAATCTCAAATCATTTTCATCTTGATTTTATTGCTACTATCGGGTTAATATACGGCACGTGTTCTATATTAACTCGGGAGTAAGTTTTATTAATGAACGCGTCTCGTTATTAATAACTACCCTCGATGAATTGGATATACTCCTCGATTGAGTATTCTAGAGGAAGATAGTTAAAGATATAACCGGGATCGATGAACATTTCATTAAGTGGATAAAAACAAAGACAAGTCTTCTTCTCATTAATTAAACCACATAAGTCGTTCACCTTCATTTTTAAATATAATCTAAGTTCATCAACCAATCTAAAAAAACCCCTTGTTATTTATTTCTAGTTTTATAAAAAGAGAAGTATTCCTTTCCCTGTAGATACGAACCTTACTTCATTATACTACGTATAATTGTTGTATTGATTTATTACTTTGAGTGCACACCACGACAAAGTGCACGTCAACTACCGAAGTCCAAGGCACCTGAAACTGCTCACATAAAGTTCTAGATATAGTTTCTTCTTTTCCTTTTTCATATTGTAATGGGGTTTTGAGGATTGGCTAAGTGTAGCATCCTCGGGTTGGTTAATGTGTTGTGAGAGCTTTGTTGTAAAGCTGAGATGCTCTCTGCTCGCAAGGTAGAGAAGCGTAACTCTTACTAGAGAGGATAGAGTTGGGGTGGCTCCAGGGTACACTAGGAGAGTTTCTCTTGTAACCATCCAAAGGCTTTTTAGTGAAGTTGTTAAAATTCCTCTGAGGGAGATCAAGGTTTTTTAATCCCTTTGAGCCAAGAGATTTTTCCTCGTTAAATCTTTGTGCACTTATTTATTTTGTTTCACCCTTTACCCCACACTAGAACTTGGCGCAAAATTGCTACGGTTCCACACACACACAATTCACACTCCCTCTTGTGTTACTAACCGTTTCATCACTGTCGTTTTAATACGGATGAATTTTAAAGAAGGCCGGTGTTTATTTTTTTTAAGAAGGTTTATATTATATGTGCTATAAGCACATATGACTATATGAGTAGTACGTCATAGAATTATATGTGCTATTTTAAAGCCTATTGTGACCAAAAGAAAGAGATTGCCCAGGAAAGTACCCACCTGACGAGTGCTTCGTACTAATCATTCCTAAGCGGTTTCTTATAAAGGCAGCAAACCCAGTTCTTCAAATAGGCCCTCCAGCGCTGTAACACCATCCCCAAGTATATTTACTTTTGTGTAAATTATGTATTGAACCTTATGAAATGGTTAATGAATTTACGAGGTTGTAAATTTTTGTTAATTCTTTTTCGTGAATAGTAAAGTGCACGTGGGGCCCACACCGGGAGCGGGGACCACCCGATATTCCCGAGATCGCCTATTTTATTCATCTTGGTATAGATAATAGTTATGTGGTAGTGGACATTCACTTTGGACCATAAGAAAGGCATTGGGTTGACCGATTGGTCAAACGAGGCCCAATTACCGGTTTTGGATAATTATCGGATAACAGTCCGAAATGAATTTCGGAGACTTAAATTAAAGTTGGGGAATGTATATTCATTCTTAAGATCCATAATGAGTGTGAACATGTAATATATTTTATTTGACCCGATAAAATAAAATATAACTAAAACAGTCCGAGAAATACAACTTTCGGGGCCGATTGTACACATCGGGACAAGTTGGGATGACCTCCCACGTGAGTGGGGGCCACCCCACGTTTTTGTGTGCTAGATGGTTGACTTGGGGAGCTGCATAGCATAGGGGAGTGGTGTATATTGAGTGAGAGTGATTGGTTGGTGTAGGAATGACCCTAGGTAGACCTCCCCTCCCAATTATCTCACATTTGAGACAAAAGGAAACACATCACCTCCCCCCAATCACTTAGCTCGACCCAGCCCCCAAGGAGAGAGAGAAATAGCTCTGAAAACCCTCCATCTCCATAGCCAAGAAAGCTCAAACAAGCAAAGAGCTCAAGGAAGAAGAAAAAG